AAAAAGCTAATATGAAAGATTAACAACTGCAACTTTCTTCTTTCCCCGTACTTTCCTAGTTAGTGATAATTAAAGACGTTCCTACTTCACAAAAGAAATTGTTTGGTTTAATTAAAAGTTTTTTCAGTTAATACTACATAAATAGATATTAAATTCACAAATCAATCATAAAGAATATAGTAGGTAGCTTCCAAAAAAAAATCTGCGCTTTAATTCATAGCAATCCTAATTTGAAGGTTGCTCTAGTATATGTATTCCTTCTTTTACAACAATATCTTCCGTGGCACAATATAACATGAGATTAATAATACCAGGTGCTCATTCTATGATATATCATTGAAGCGTGACTGCGTGATGTTATGCGTATCCTTTCTTTCATTTTCTAATCCCATTACTTCTCACCTTTTATTTATTTTTTTCAATTAATGAAAGGTTTTCACAACATGTGTACCTACATAGTGCTAAAATAGAAACCCCGCTCATTATATAGGAAGGTCCACCCTATTTTATTTTTTTTCTTTTGACTAAACAAATTAAAAGCTAATTTGGTGTCTCCATTTTAGGATTGGCAAATCTCCTTGGTTTTCCTACTTCCTTCTCCTTTCCAATTTTATTGAGTTTTGAAGATCTTCTTCCTACTTCCATGCAAAAACTTAGTACTTTGGAAAAGGTAATTAAAAGTTATCATTATTTCTAATATTGTTTAATGTAGCAGAGAATAGTGTAATTACTATTATTCTAATAGATTTTGTCCATGATTTTTCTTGGAATTTAAAAGGTAACATAATATCGAATTGTTGGATAGCAGGTTCCTAATATGTTTCCTAATCTGTTTTGGTAACATGATTCCAAATCTGTTTTGGTAACAGGTTATTAGGATTCCTAATCTGTTTTATTTTTTATTTTAGAATTCCTAGTATGTTTATTAATTTAGGATTTTTATATATACGGAATAATTGGGAGAGAGAATTGAGAAGAAAATTGGGGATATTTGGAGCACAGAAAAAAGGTATTTTTTGAGCTATTGCTTAGGGTTTTGTTTGGAGAGAATTAGAGATTTGTTGGTGAGATTAATTAGTGAGTTTGAGTGATTTGTAATCTCAGTTTGTACTCTTCTTCTCTATTAGTAAAAAACCATATCCCCTTCTTGCTCCGTGGACATAGACAACTTGCCGAACCACGTTAAAATTGGTTGTTTGTGTTTGTGGCATTGATTTGGTTCGTTTGGCCTTCTCTCGACGTTCGTTTGATTTGGTCTCTCGAAGCACGTTGGTTTGGTTGTTTGGCTTCCGCAGCGCTCAACAAGTGGTATCAGAGTTCGGGCTACGCTTTGGCTATTTGGAGGAGTAGGTCGTTTTGGAGGCTCGCCCAGGGCTTTGTTTGGTGATAAAGATGTGATCTTTTTGGTAAAGACTTTATCTTTTTTAGTTTTGGATCTATTCTTCATTTGTTTCGCATTTGTTTTGGTGCTTTCAGAAAGATGATCAGGAAAGAAGGAGTTGTGGAGGGTACTTCCGACGTGAAGACCGTCCAAAGTTTGAATATCCACTCTATAAAGATAGATGTGTAGAAGTTTAATGGCACAAACAATTTTGGTCTTTGGAGATGTGAAGTCTTGGATGCGCTCAATGCGCAAAATTTGGAAGATACTTTGAAGTTAGACGGGAAACCGGACGACGTTGAGGAGAAGGTTTGAAAAAAGATGAATAGAACAGCGTGTGGTGTGATTAGATCTTATTTGACTCAAGATTTAAAATATGATGTGATCAATAAGACTTCGGCTAAGAAGATTTGGGAGATCCTAGAGGGTAAGTATTTGACCAAGAGTGTAGAGAATCGCATGCATTTGAAGAGAAGGCTTTATCGCTTCCAATTGAAGAAGGGGACCTCCATTGGTGATCACATGAACCACTACACGAAGCTTCTTGCGGATTTGGCGAATATAAATGTGATGATTAAAGATGATGACAATGCGTTGTTGTTGTTGAGTTCCTTACCTGATGAGAAATATAAGACCTTCGTTCTTACTCTTATTAATGGGAATGCATATCTTTCTTATAGTGAGGTCACCGCTATACTTGTGAATTATCAGCTTCGAAAGAAGGATAAGGAGACTTCAGTTGAGCCAGTAGTGGGGGCATTGGTCGCAAGAACAAAGAGTCCAAACCGTGATAGGAGGTCGTAGTCTAGAGGGGCACATCTTGGAGTTCGTAGGAATCAATGTGCCTTTTGTAAAGAGGATGGATATTGAAAAGCCGAATACCCAAAGTTGGTTGATCGAGCCGGAAAGAATAAGGGGAAAGTTATTCAAGCTTCAAAGGTGAACGTTGTCAAGGCTAGTGGTAATAATTCAGATTCAGATTCTTCGGACTACTCGTTTATCTGTACTACCGTCAGTTTGTGTTGCCGACTCTACAGAGTGGATGTTGGATTCGGGTGCTTCTTACCATATTTGTCCTAGGAGAGATTGGTTCTCCAGCTTTCAGGAGTTAGAAAGAGGGGATGTCATGCTCATGGGTAATGATCATAAATGTCCAATTGGTGGTATCAGTACCGTTCAGATTAGGATGAGTGACGGAGTGATTCGGAGTTGGTTGGAGTGAGGTTCGTTCCTCAGTTGAAGAAGAACATCATTTTACTTGAAGCTTTGGAGGTAGCAGGCTATAGGGTGACCTTGATGGATGCACGTTTGAAGGTCACATTGGGGTCCATGATTGTGATGAAAGGCGTCAGGAGGAATAATTTATATTATTTGATTAGGAGCACGGTGTTTGATAAAGAGCTGACGACTTCTTTGGATTTGGATAGACTGTGGCATTTGTTAAGGCCGGGTTATTTGATTGGTTATGCCGTGCATGGTTTGTTGAGGAGTGCTTTGACCTGTAAATTGTAGTCCTTTGAGCACATTGGTATGAGCAAGAAGACCGAGGTGGAGTTTGGCACTTCTATTCATCGATCGAGGGGTCTTTTAGGTGGTGTTCATTCAAGCATTTGGGGGCCTTCCAAGGAGGTATCATTGGGAGGTAATCGGTATTTGGTTTTCGCAGTTGGGGATTGTTCTAGGCATTTGTGGGTTACAACCAGGTCCCGTTGGTGTGAAGTACTAGAAGTCAACAACAATTGAAAGAAGTGTATTGGCAGAAAGGTAACACGTCATTCTAGCTTTGGTAGGAGTTCTTTCTTACATTTGTACCGAGATCATGGCAGTTTGAGACACTTCATTGATGTGAAGATATTGGGACGACGAGATGAGATGATAGTTTTGATGGGTCGTTCCTTACTGGAGGGGGATCAGCGTTGGTTATCGAGCATTGGTTTTGGTTTTAGAGCTTCGACATATTTGGGTCATCTTGGTTATAGGTTACCGACTGCTGCGTGTGGAGATTTTGGATCTGGTGGAGCTGCTTCAGATTTTGGGTTGCGTCGGATATTTGGTTGCCTAACATTTGGTCATATCGAGGATGTGAGATTTGATCTGATTGCACATTTGGGATTCAGAGGTTCGTTTGATTATCAGTTAGGAGCTTCTGATTTTGTTCTGAGCAGGTATGTCACATTTGACTCTCGGCAGGTGGAGAGTGTTGATCAGATCATTGGGATATCACAACGGGTGGAGGGTGATACTACTTCACATTGGATGGAGATTACTCCACATACTCTAGATCATACTACATCGTTTGGGATTCTAGCTGAGGTGACACAGTTTGGAGATCATTTGGATTCAGATACAGATGATGAGTTGGTTTTGGATTCGAGTGTAGCTGGTGGACATGTTTTAGATATGGTCATTGGTTTACCGCAGGTGGAGGTGTTTGATTTGTTTCAGTTTGGGGCCATTGGGAGCGCTATCAGTTGCAGATCCGATGGTGATATTGGTAAAGAGTTGCAAACTTTTTTATTTGATTGAGGGCCTTTGGAGGCCGTTTAGGTAAACTACGTGAATGCTTGATTCCTTGTGTAAGAGGATACGTAGGCAGTCATTTATAATGCAGCCGGTTTTGTGAGTTGATACCAACATTTGAAGTTTGTTCGTATTCTCGTTTGGGTTCTCAACTTATTGTGGATTGAGTCTGTTGTCATGGATTTGTTCCACTTCGTACTGGACGCAACAGGTGAGATATTTGGTTGGTATTGGTGTCAGCTCAGTTTTGGGAAAACTTCGCCGAGGTGAAGAATTGTTGGATAGCAGGTTCCTAATATGTTTCCTAATCTGTTTTGGTAACATGATTCCAAATCTGTTTTGGTAACAGGTTATTAGGATTCCTAATCTGTTTTGTTTTTTGTTTAAGAATTCCTAGTATGTTTATGATTTTAGGATTTCTATATATATGGAACAATTGGAAGAGAGAATTGAGAAGAAAATTGGAGATATTTGGAGCACAGAAAAGAGGTATTTTCTGAGCTATTGGTTAGAGTTTTGTTTGGAGAGAATTAGAGATTTATTGGTGAGATTAATTGATGAGTTTGAGTGATTTGTAATCTCAGTTTGTACTCTTCTTCTCTATTAGTGAAAAACTCTATCCCCTTCTTGTCTCGTGGACGTAGGCAACTTGCCGAACCACGTTAAAATTGGTTGTTTGTGTTTGTGGCATTGATTTGGTTCGTTTGGCCTTCTCTCGACGTTCATTTGATTTGGTCTCTCGAAACACGTTGGTTTGGTTGTTTGACTTCCGCAGTGCTCAACACGAATAGCAAAGAGTCGTGTTCCATAATTGACTCTATTTTGTTAGCATAACTTAAAGTTTTTTCAACACATTCCCTAACAATTTTTATATAAAGCTTCATCAATCCCACCTTCACATTAAGCTAACTATGCTCACCAAACATGATAACCATATCTTTTATGCTTTTGTAAGATACATATCCATTCCTATTGGGTTCATATCACATAAATTGGGCCCGACCCACTTAAACCTAATTGCATACCTTTAATCACCACTAACTTATAAAAGGAAAGAAAAGACTAGGTTGGTGCACCCCTAATGATGTCCACATGACAGAAACAAGCTCGCCTACACACTTGTGGAACAAAAAGATTTGCAACAAACTCATCTTTTTTTCGTTTTTTCAAATTGTAGCATACAAAAACGGACAAGAACTTTTCTAGCCTATAGGGCATCTCATATTGGACGGGTAGAAGCGGGGTACATATGGTTTGGTTGGTGACGACAAGGTGCGCTCCCAACCGATTATATCTCCCCTTGGTTCTGCATCTTCCAAGTTTATGTATAGTTTGTAAATACTCTTTAGTTTTTGGTTTATATATACATGAATAGGGCTTTGCGTCCTGTTTTTTTCTTCAAAAAAAAATGGACAAGAACCTTGTTTGAGACTCAAATATGTGTATTTGGGGTCAAGTCCGACGGCCATATAGAGAAGCTTGAGCTCTTACATAACAAGAGCCTCTCATACTTTTGAAAGAGAGAGCAAGATATAGAGAGTTATAAAGAGAGGGAGAGGGAGGGAGCTAAGGCAAAAGATATGAAAGCAAAGCAAAGCTTCGGCCAAACATATACTCAGAGATTAGGCTTGGTTGCTCTATTCGGATGTATCATTGTTCCCGTTATTTTTATTGCTCTGATCAAGTCGAATTCTCTCCAATTTTCCATTCGTAAGTATTTTTGTCTCTCTTTTTGTTTTTTGTTTTTTTTTGGGAAATTTTTCTTATCATTCTTTAGAGTGTTGATAGATGTTTTGTTTGTAGTGAGTTTGCAGCTTTCTATTAGAACATATGGGAGCTTGTCAACCATGGAGGAAGATGAAGTCTCGACACGAAGAGGTTCATTTTCCCGATAATTTCTAGTTATTCTTTATCTGATTTAACTCAATACGTTAATTATTCTTTTGAAGTTTGAAGAGCTTTTTTTTTATCTCTATTTTTTTGTGTTTGCAATCTTCAAGTAGGTGGTTAAGGGTGTAATTTAACTAACTGCATGCATATTTAATCATTGACGGGATAAATTTTCTAGTATTGAATGATGGCATCTGTATATGGTTGCATTTCTCCTTAAAAGGAAAAAAAGGTATAGGAATGCTAAATGGTTGCAAACAATTTCTAGTAAGAAAGGGATCCGTAAGAAAGCTGCATGATAAGTATATAAATATATGTGTGTGCCATATCTTTGACCTTTAATTAAGAACATACGCACAATAGTATTTTTAGGCATATGCTTTTCTAGGGATTCGGATCCTCTCCACTACAAAAAAAATAGTGGAGGGACCACTACTTTATCACAGCCATTGATTATCTAGTTGATGGTTATGATTTTTTCTTTTAGTGCAAATTAGAAATGAGTGCAATACACGTGGGTATGATAAGTGTTAGATTTAGATTGTATCATAACCGTCTACTAAATAATCAATGCTTGAGATTAAAAGTAGTGGTCCCTCCACTACTTTTTTGTAGTGGAGAGGATCCAAATCCTTTTCTAGGGGCTTTTATTTTTCTATTATTTACCATTACATGTCACATTTTAACCTCTAACTTCCTCCTCAAGATATATAACATTTGTAGACATACTTGCAGTGACTTTAATTTTTTCTTAAATTATTTACTATTGAATTGAAAAGGTCAATGTGACTTTGCCGAACGGTTAAATCTATTTTGACTCTCAGACTCCTGTACTTTTGTACTCTATATCATATCAAGAATCATTTTGTTTAAAATATTAAACTATTAGATTATTGATTAACAAGTAAAAGCCTAAGGGGTATGCTAAAAAAGGAACATTATAATTTATTTTCATTCTCACAAAGTGGTCCATTTGAAGTATTCTTATTCTTATGTCTGTTCTTGGTCCCTTCTTATATATGATGTTGATCTACCACCACAAAATAGAAAATGGAGAAGAATTTTGTTTCTTTTGAAAACGTGGGATAGGCAAGGCAAAGAAGTGTGGTTATGCTTCTTTCACTCATCATTTTCTACTTGAAAGTATTAGGACCAATTTTGTTTTCCCATTGGAGGCTACCTAAGTAAGAGATAAGTTCTGATTTTAAAACCTTTTTTTTTGGGAAAGTATTTTGAGAAGTAACTTAAACATTTTATTTGTTTGATAAATAATTTGATTTAAAAAATATAATATTCATTTCCACCACACACATATCATAGAAAAGGAGCTCATTTCACAAGGTTAGTTTTTGTCATTAGTTGCAATAATAACATAGTATACACATATTATTTTAATTGAGGAGGGGCACAGTAATACGAGATATAAAAACAAATATTTGAATTATGAAATCTACAAATATTAGAAGGGGCTCTATCATTGGAGTTGGGAACTTAACCTAGTCTTAGACATTAAGTTTTTCTTTTCAAACGTGAAAGAAGTCCCTTATGCATACCATGAATTTTCACATGAAAATATTCCTCCTAAATTTCTCAGTCTCAATCTGACACCAAATATAAATCAGAAGAAAATTAAAAGCAACCTAACAATTAATGGATAGCCTACACAACATCACATGCATGGTATTTGAAAGAAAACTCCGCCCATCCTTTAATGAAGTGAGAAGCTAACTCTCATACCCTTGCAATTAATCAATCCCTCGCTATTGACTTCATCTTAAGCTTATACCAAGTATTCGGCTCCGTACTACAAAGAATGTTATAAGAAAAACTAACTATGTCTAATATATTATCTAAAGGGTAAATTGCGGATAACTTTCTCATCTATATGCCTTGTGCAATAGTGTTTATCATCCCTCAATTCATGTGGAAGACTTAACCTTTGTGTAATTTATCTTTCTCAAAATATCAGTTCCAAGAATGATAAGTGCTAATAAATGAATCGAGAGGTGTAAGTTTAACAAAAAATGTATCTGTATAGATGAAGAGAATTAACAACTGAGCCTTATCCAACTATGGACTCCAATCTTAATAAGAGCTGTAGTCATGGTTACATTGTCATTTTCCATAGTTGCTCTTACTTGTTTTGGGGTATCAAGCTTTTTGGAATTTTATTTGGGACTTTTTTGTAATTGGAGTTGCAACTTAAACCTCGTTTATATATATAAAAAAAACTAAAACTATGATGATATAAAAATCTGTGTAATTTGTTGTATTTATGACACTTCTATAACTGTAATTACGACTATATTTATTAGTTACAATGAAACTAAACGTAGCAAGTGATTCGCAATGTCTCAGTTGCAGGTAAGTATAGTCAAAAAATGTTGTTTACACAAGCTTCTCATAGCATTCAAGGAATCAACCTAAAGATCAACCTCTCAAGGAGAAGAAGATTCCTACATCATCTCTAGAAAGTAGGTATTGAAGACTTTTTTCGTCAAAAAGTTAAGGGAGACTAATCAGAGTTAGCTTCTTTAAAATGATGCGACAAGTTAGCTTGAGAGACTGATGAGAGTCAATACCTCCTTTAACTAAAGTACAAGTCATTCAACCCCATAACAAACAGAACTCTTTAGTGCTTAGTTTATTAACTTTGGACTATCTGAGATTTACCTCCAAGATTTTTTGTATACTATGCAGGGACACTAATGCTAGTTATAAACATTTGTATGGTGTCAGAATAAGATCTTAATACTTCACATACTAGAAGTTTAGGAGATCCAAGGAATCATGCAGGGACTTCAATTATGAGTCACATTTCAAACTTTATTTAACTAGTCATTGTATGATGTACTTAGATGCAAAAGCAAAAGTTTAATCAAAATTAAAGGACTTTTTCCTCTAGCCTAATTAATGTTAGTTTTGGCCCTTCATTGATAAATGTTTCAATTGACTTATTTGCCTATTGTACATATATGCATGGTTCTTAGATCCTAAAAACATGTGTTGCACATGAACTCTGAATTCTTATAGACTCGTTTAATTTAAAATTTAAGTTAAAAATATTCTGCAAGATGAGAACTAAAATTTTGAAAATGAAAACAATAGATGGAGTAGATTCATGCTACTTTGAAATTGATCTTTTGTTTGCCCAAGTCACTTCCTTATTGTAACCTTAAGTCAACCCAAATTTAATGTGATTTGGTCAAATGCAAGGTGAAGTGTCTAAAGCAAATTCCAAATCTCACTGGTGAAGCTTCTGAACTAATAAAGAAACCAGCCATCCAATGAGGAGCAAGACTTTCACTTGTACAACAAAGACCATAACATTATTGTATAACCAATAACATAACAACATTATATCATATATATCACGAATAAGAACAAAGAATTTCAACTCTAGCACAGTGCATAAAACACGTGCATCAAATTAAACCTAAGCCAGTACAGCACATGATCCAGTCTAATATTATTTCTAGGACTAATTGCATATACACCCTTATAATAATGGGGTTTTGCTAGCAGTTTTAACCCCATTGTATCAAAATAGAGTTATTTCCCTATTGCATGCGTCCGTCACATTTATGTCAAGTAACGGTTCCCTCATATTTCAGCTTGTACATTTACTCTTATAGTTGTTGAACATACATCCTCTATAGTGCATGGGTACAAATAAGGAAGAGACAGCTCTGTTTGGATATTAGAGGTCTAAATTCATACAAAAATGCAAGATCCGCTTCCGGATGTTTACATTTCCTCTGGTTCTTACTCTCTTCCAGTTCTTTTGGATTGTTCATGTAAATATTTACCTTAAACCTTTTTATATAATATATATCATGAATAGGGTCCCTCACTCTGTTTATAATCTTCAAAAAAAAGAATTCATATAAAAATTTCTAGAAATACTAAGCGGGTAATTCTAAAGATACTCTTCAGATCTCATGCTGTGAATTAGATCTTTAATATTTCGAAATTAATCCCTCAAATCATTGAAAATCCTATCAAGTACCTCAAATCTTAAGCTATTTTTGAATCAGTCCCTCAAAAACATTAAAATTACAATTAGGTCCCCCATTTCTTAAGTTGTTTTCAAGTTGGTCCTTCTAATCAAGAGGAGAACTAGCGATTGGAGGGATTAACAAGTAAAATCTATTGTTGTGAACTATCGTGTTGCCCAATTCTCAAAAGTTGTTTCAAATTAGTCCCTCTAATTGCTATTCATATTCTTTATTGAAGGGACAAATTTGGAAATAACTGAAGAATTAAGGGACCTAATAGCAATTTTATGATTTGAGGGATTAATTTCAAAATACCTTAAGATTTGATTTCAATTATTTATTTGAGGGACTAATTTAGAATATGAAAGATTTAAGGGATTAATATCGAAAATACCTAGTCTTATATAGGCAAGCAGTTGCCTCTCAAACGGGCGCACAGAAAGAGAGAGAGAGAGAGAGAGGAAATGAGGGCAGAGAAGCTTGGATGTTTTGCATTGGTTGGATGCTTGATAGTCCCTTTAGTGCTTGTTGTATCTGTGATCAGACCAGCCTTCAGTCCTACCTCTCTTCTTTGTGAGTTATTAATGGTTTTGAATTTCAGCACTTTACACTAATTTCAAATCCGAAAATGATGTTTTTTTTTAAAAAAGGTTTTTTTAATTGGTGGTGTTGAATTTCATTGTTACTAAAAAAAGCACCTTTTGAAGTTTTCATGTTACAAGACCATATAATTCATCTTACTCATTCATATTAACCTTTTCAATGCAAATATGTCTAGAGTATTGCTTATTATGTTTATTTATTTCTATTGAGATGTATCTAGCTATAATAGCTGATAAAAAAACTCTCACGCTCCCAATATTGCAGGTGCCAATTCAACAACTCAATCTCTTCAATTGAGGGTTGTGCAAGAGAGGAATGATTCAATTATTGGTAATTTCATAATGCATTTACTCTTATTTATAGAAAATTAGTAGAAGTACGTACTAACCCGTGATTATTATTTTGCAGGCATCGATAACGAATTGATAAAATTAGCCCTTCCTTCAAATGAACAGCCTAATGTAAACAAATCAAATGCAGGTTTGTGCAAAACATACACAGCCACAAACTAATTAATGAGTATGAGAAAAGGTTAAATTGAATTTAATTTAAAAAGTCTCACTCTACTTCTCTGTGGTATTTGATGCAGAAGTTGTCATTAATAAGATGCCACTTGATCAAAATAAAAAGCAAGATGTAAATAGGTTGATTGTTGATATTGAGATGACAAATCAACCTCTTGCTATCGAGAGTAAGTATTTTTTTTAATCTAATTTTTAGACTTATTATGATTTAATTTTCTAATATGCTAGCAATTAACTCATTATATGCAAAATTTTGTAGATAATAAAGAGGCAGAAGTGGCTAATATCTCAAACGATGAGAAACAAGAGCAAATCTATTCAGTTAGCTCCTTTAATTCTAGCGATGTACATAGCATAGAAAATGAGAAAATAGAAGTGGCTTCCAACGTGAATAAAACTCAAGATTTGAAAGAAAATCAGGATGAAAACAAGATAATAGTAGGTGAGTGTATTATATAATATACATAATATACTTATAAGCATTCATCCCAGTAAGGGAGATTCGACGCATTCGATTTTATATAGCATTACGATATTGATTAACACCTTTATTTTATTTTATTTTATTTTATTTTTTCTTTTTTAGCAGGTAATAAACAGGAGGATATGACCATTGACTCAAGTGAGCGGCCAGAGCAAAATCACGCAATTGAAGGTTGGCGCCTATATATTGAATAGAATATGAGTTCTAATAATATATTTTGTTAATAATGAATTTATCTTGGTGCATATATACTTTCGGCTAATTTTCTTCCACTACCACTTCGGGTAACAATGCAGTCCAAGAGAGCAAACTAGTGTGTGACTTCTCACAACCAAGATCGGACACATGCTCTCTCCTTGGTGACATCAGAATCCTCCCCAAAACCTCAAACATCATCTTAGTATCCATCGGACACATGCTCTCTCCTTGGTGACATCAGAATCCTCCCCAAAACCTCAAACATCATCTTAGTATCCCTGCCACCATCACAAAATTCAAGGTGACATCAGAATCCTCCCCAAAACCTCAAACATCATCTTAGTATCCCTGCCACCATCACAAAATTCAACGGTCAGGATTCGACCGTACGCCCGAAAATGGGAGCGACCAGTCATGCAAAATATCAAAGAAGTCTCGATATCTCCACCGCCCGATCCCGATCAAGCCCCCTCTTGCTCAGTGAAGCACACCGTGCCGGCAGTCATATTCTCCACGGGAGGATTCCTTGGAAACTTCTTCCATGACTTCACTGATGTAATAGTCCCCTTATTCACAACTTCCCGCCACTTCCAAGGGGAGGTCCAGTTCCTGGTGACCGACTTCAATTCCGATTGGATCGCCAGGTACCGGCCCATACTCGGCCAGCTTTCCAAATACGAAGTAATCGACATGGACCGGGAGGCCTCAGTCCACTGCTTTTCGAAGGCCCAACTAGGCCTGCTAAGCCACAAGGTGCTCGGAATCGATCCGTCCTTGACCCCAAATAATTATTCCATGCTCGACTTCAAGCAATTCTTGAGATCTTCCTTCTCTCTGAACAGAGAGTCTACGAAAGTGATGCCGAAAAATTCGAAGAGGAAGCCGAGGCTACTAATGATACTACGGAAAGGGTCGCGATCGCTGATGAATGCGAAAGAAATTGTGTCGATGGCCCGATCCACAGGCTTTAAGGTTGTCACTGCTGGGCCCGAAGAAACGAGAGACCTTGCTAAATTCGCGAAAATTGTGAACTCCTGTGATGTGATGATGGGAGTGCATGGAGCTGGGCTGGGCAATATGGTCTTTTTGCCGACGAATGCGAGCTTGATTCAGATAATTCCTTGGGGTGGGCTTAAATGGGCTTGCTGGCATGATTTCGGCCAGCCCGCGTTCGGTATGGGCCTTAATTATGTGGAGTATGAGATAAAAGAGGAGGAGAGTTCTCTGATAGAGGAGTATCCAAGGGATCATGCAGTGTTTAAAGATCCTTTGTCAATTCACAGACAAGGCTGGAATCAGCTGTGGTCTATATTTCTTAATAAGCAGAAGGTTAAGCTTGACGTGGGTAGATTTAGGGGTGTTTTGTTGGAAATCTATAGGTCCCTTAAAAATTAAACCAGGGATTACAGCAAAAAAAAAAAAAAAAAATCTTCATTTCACATGATTATGCGGATCTTTTTGTAAAGAAAGCGTGAATCACGAATAATATATTATCGCATAGAAGGAAATTGGAAGAAAGTCTTTGCTACATCATACGTGGCCTCAATAATGTACATGATATATATCAGAAAGAAAGATTTATTTCAATTAAATTGGAAGAATATAATAATCATACACACAGCAGTTCCTCTTATGTTACATCTCGAAAAACAATGATTATGACCTCTCATTATGTTAATACACAGTACAAGAAATAATCTATGAAAGAGCATTCATATGTATCATGTTCGCACCTTCTGCTGATCAAAGATCACTTCAAGATGCTCCCGGGGACATAAATTCTTTTTTGTATTGTTTTTCCAATCAAATACTTGGAGAGTTTTTCATCTTGAGAAGCTAATTTGAAAGCATCATCCTCAGAAGAAGCTTCATCAACCAAAACCGTCCCTCTTGTCTTACCGTTGATCTGAACAGGCAATACTATGTTTGAATCTTTCAAGTACTCGCTTTTCGCCTGAACCAAATTAGTAGTAGCATGAGATTAAGTCGAATAAAAGTGCAAAGGATGATAGAATTTTCTTTTTTTTCCCCCTTTTTCTTCTTCTATAAACTCTTAGTGGGATTTGGCCAGTATTCACAGGGTAGGACAAAAGGGCAAAACATATACTTATAACAAGTGTATTACTGGAAGAAAAAGGACCATACTCCTCCATTGCGTAGTTAGTAACTGAAGAATAAAATACATAATACAACCTAAACTTTCCCTCAGAAATGAATTAAATATCAACTTTCATTCTCAAATCCACATCTCTAGAATGGAGAATAGATAACTACGAAAAAAAACTTTTCAACAGTTGTTAAGACCCTAAACTGCTACAACAATTTGTGAAATCCTTTCAGGTCCCTCAACTTAGCCTGTTAATACTATTCTTTATGTTTTTTTTTCCGTTGTCTATCCAAAGGTGAGATGGAGGAGAGTTGTATTAGGCAGCTGACAGTTGATGTAAAACTAAGTAGATCCTGAGGAATGTTTGATACGTCACAACACTGTTACATCAAATATCATTTATGCGCAACAATAATTAATCAAGAATAGTTTAAATGTAAGCTTCTAAAAATGAGCAAGGAAGTAGAGATAGGCTTAGGTGAACTTGAATGGAATAACTGAAAAAGGAAATGCTACTTGCCAACATAATTGAGAAGATGGTCCTTTATAAGATAGTAATGGGTTTTTATGGATATTAGTCCCTTAAATCTTTATTATTTTGAAATTATTCCTTCAAATCATTAGTTATTATGTCCCTCAATTTTTAATTTATTGCAAACTTGTTATTAGACCCCACGACCGCAACCCATGCCTCCCCCACCCCACCCCCACCCCCACACACACACAAACAAAAAAGAAACAAAACAAAAATCTCATAAGCTGTTTCATATTTGTACCTCCAACTAAGAGAGTAGCAATCGGAGGGATTAATTTAAAACTTATGAGAATTGGGAGGCCTAATAGCAATTTCAGTGATTGGAGGGACTAATTTTAAAACAAGTTAAAATTTGGGGACCTGATAGCAATTTCAATTATTTGAGGGACTACTTTCAAAATCTTAAAGATTTAACAGATTAATACCCAAAAAAAACACAAAGAACACCCAATGGGTCATGGCTTCATTGTTGTGCTAAGTTATTGTGCTAAGTCAATCAACTGTCACATTCAACAAAACACCCCATTGAAGAATCTGCAAATGAAATTATTAAGCCCATGAAACTGTAGCAGAGATAGAAGGCAAGTTCCTATAAAGTGAAGAAGTAATTGGTCATGGACCCATGGTATTGCATGCCAACAAATCCATGTTGGATATAAAAGATTCCACCAAACGAAAGATAATCATCCAAATTGATTCAATTCTGGAAGAATCCTTCAACATTAGCTATGTGAAAGGTCGCATCCAAGCTTCCAAACAAGGAACAAATATCCTCCAATCCATTAAGTAGATTAATCATAGTTTTGTCCCGTTGTTTAAAAATAGGAAATATGGTCCTTAAATCAAATTATAGATATTGTCATTACAACTTACATTTGGCTGTCACCTATTGACGGCAAACCATGATTTGAGCTTTCACACAACTCACTCTTGTGCCATGTTTCTTTTTCTTTTCAAGTATGTGTGTGTTCTGATATAAAATGCACGCTGCTCGCTGCTAGTTCTTCACTGACAAAACTACAATCTTCCTTGCGATGAAGTATTATTCATAGGTGAACATCAATAATATTATTACTACCTACTTTATCCCATAGTTACCTTCAGTTCACATTGTGAATGAAGGAATCCAGAGAATGGATTAAATTTAAATAACATCAGATAAACTAATAATGAAAACTAAGTAGCAAGACTGCAGTTAAACAAAATCTCCAACCCTTTATTAAAAACTAATAAACAAATGACTGATAAAAAGTTCAAATATTAGGAGAACCAGACAAAAGGACCACATCAAAAGAAATAAATTCTCCCTATAAAAAGAATGATAACAAAAACATACCTCTGGAAAGTTTTCATATGCCAATGATCTCGAATGTCCCAGTCGAAACCAAAGCTCCTCTGCCATGTGAGGAGCATAAGGGGATAGTAGCAAAACAAATTCCTCCATGATTGATTTTGGATGCTTCTTCCACTAAAACTCATGAGAAATTAATGTACAAATTAGGTATCAAATTTTATTGTTACCTCAATGTAACACAATATTTGCATGTAAAACAATTTTGGTCTCCTCTTTATTCCTTTGATCAATAAAATAAAGAAGGATTTTGCAACTTAAAAAAAGAAGTGATGAGCATGAAAGAAGTATTACTGTTACTATATGACATAAGAACAGCAGAAAAGCCTGAAATGTAGGGGAATAAATGGGAAGATTACAAGTGTCTTCAGATACATATAAGAACAGCAGAAAAGCCTGAAATGTAGGGGAATAAATGGGAAGATTACAAGTGTCTTCAGATACATATGATACATCTAATTCAAAAGAGCAAAACTTAATAAACCTATAGAAAAGCGATCTTCTGGTGATTGAAGAGAAGGGGAGGGAGTTTATTCTTGAAGTTAGAAAATGATAATTGGATAACAAAAAGATAATAAAAGGAGCTCAGAATTTCGTGAACATAATGTTCTTAGTCACAGATGCTTCAAATGAAAACATAATGGAAATCTACGTACAATAATAAAAGTATAAAGATAAACTTCTCATTAGTTGAAGTTTAAAAAATAATAAACATGTCATTTAATCCATTCAGATGAAGTTAAGATCAGTTATAAACACGAATAAGATAATAGAGTGAATCGATAAAAGAATCAAAACTAAATAAGTACCCCTCAATCCTTATCCTATCCTTTCAAATCTAGTTAATGAAATTAAACAATTCATAACAAATTAAAAAAAGATAGGAAAAAAAATATGCTTGTTTAAAAGTCGCGGTTATTCCTCTACTATAGTAACAACACTTTCCAAAATCTCCTTCAACTAGAGTTTCCTCTTCTCAAATGGCGATTGTTATTTACGCCTCATTTGGTATGCGGGAATGAGTAGGAATAAAATGACAATTCCCACTTTTCATTCCTTCATACCAAATATGACCTCATTTTGGAAGCTAGAATGCTCATTCCCACTTCCCCTCTCATTCCCACTTAAGCATTCCACTTAAACAGGAATCAATAATATACAAAACTCTAAAATGTCCATTTCCACTTTATTCTCTTAATTGCACCCAAACGTGAGAATGGAAATGAACATTCCATTTCCATATTAATTCCATTACATTCCTTTCTTCATTCCATTCTAACTTCATTCGATTCCAACATACCAAATGAGGCATTAGGGTTAAGATGACTAGAACCATAACCCGATGAGGCATTAGGGTTAAGATGACTGGAACCATAACCCTAAATCACAATCACCATTTGAGAAGAGAAAGTTCTAACAAGATTTTGGGGAAAGTATTGTTGTTGTAATTACAGTAGAAAAACACTGCAACTTTTAAACAAATCTCTTTCTTTTATTTTCCTTTTTTTGTTTTTTCTAAATTTAATGTCAATATCTGATCCAGAGACTCAGATTTTTCATGAATAAGATATAGGTGCCCATAACGTGAGTAATTGTCTATGAATGATAAAAAATATTGTTGACCATTCCAGGATTCCGTAGGGAATGGCCCACAAATATCCATATGTATCAATTCTACGACATCCGAAGATCTGTTGGCACCTAATCTTTTCACTTTGGTCTGTTTTCCTTTGATACATTCAACACATACGTCGAAGTCCGAAAAATCAAGGGAATCCAAAATGCCTTCTAAATTTAATGTCAATATCTGATCTGTTTAATTTTATTAATTAGATGGGAAGGGATACGATAAGTATTCAAGTGATGTTTATTTAGTTACAATTTTTTTTAATTTATTCACACTATTATCTTCTTTTGTGTTTCTAACCAATCTTAAATTCATCTGAATGGATTTAACATGCATATTTATTATTTTATAACTTTAACGATGTTGTAATGTAATAGGAACCACATGTAGCAAACTGCTTCCAACTGTAGGCGTATAAAAATGCCTATAGGTTCCTACACACAGCTCGGGATGAAATGCAGACGATAAGCGTCATCATCCAAGTCAGGAAGGATTATCTGGCTCCGTGAAATCTAACGAATATACAAAGTGAGTCATTAGAGTGTACAAGTCACCGGAATGACGAAATACGCAATACAAGTTCGGAGAAGTCAGAAAGTGTCGTACACCTCAAAGTGGACCGCAAAATGAAGAGGCATTTAGACCATGCTACGATTTGAATCTGAAAAAATTCAAAACATAAAAGTTGTAGGTCTCTTCGTCATCTTTCTAACACATCTTGAATCACCTCATTCCGAGGTCGGATGAGTGAGTTAAGACCACTATAGTAACTCCGGGACGCTCAAATCCGACCCGCTCTACAGTCCGACCCGCGCTACAGTTCCGACCCGCGCAAAGAAGTAAAGTTTTGCCTATGCTGCGATTTGAATCTGAAAAATCTCAAAACATAAAAGTTGTAGGTCTCTTCGTCAGCTTTCCAACTCATCTTGAATCAGCTTAATCGAAGGTCGTACGAAAGAGTTAAGGACAAAATACCGAAGATTCTAGACGGCTTTAAAAATAGTAATAGCATCTGCTTTAAAGCCTGTTTTATAAAGTGGCTTTATAAAAAGTAGATTCTAGACGGCTCCCCGAGGCTCAATCTAGAATTTTTATCT